TGGTCTTGAACTCCTGGCCTCAAGTGATCCACCTGCCTTGGCCTCCCAGAATGCTGGGATTACAGGTTACAGCCACCACATCTGGCCCATTTTTTGCTTTTGGAGACAAGGTCTTGCTGTGTTGCCCAGGCCAGAGTGCAGTGGTGCGATCATTGCTCATTGTAGCCTCAACTTCCTGGGCTTAGGCAATCCTCGCACCTCAGCCTCCTGAGTAGCTGGGACCACAGATATGTGCCACTATGCCTGGCTAATTTTTGAAAAAAAGTTTTTGTAGACTTGGGGTCTCACTGTGTTGTCACACTGTTCTCAAACTCCTGGGCTCAAGCAGTTCTCCCTTCTTGGCCTCCCAAAGTGGTAGGATTACAGGCTTGAGCCACTGTGCCCACCCTGAATTTTATTTTAGATTCAGAGGGTTCATGTGCAGGTTTGTTACATTGATATATTGTATAATGCTGGGGTTTGGGCTGTATTGAACCCATCACCCAAATAGTGAACCTTGTACCCAATAGGTAGGTTTTCAGCCCTTGTACCCTTCCCTCTCTTCCCGCTTTTGTAGTTCCTAGTGTCTGTTTCCATCTTTATGTTGTGTGTACCTATTGTTTAGCTCCCACTTACAAATTAGAATGTTTAGTATTTGACTTTATGTTTCTGTGTTAATTCACTTAGAATAATGACCTCCAGCTGCATCCATGTTGTTGCAGTGGACATGATTTCATTCTTTTTTATGGTTGCACAGTATTCTATGGTGTGTATATGTACCACATTTTCTTTACCCAATCCACTGTTGATGGGCACCTAGGCTGATTCCATGAGTTTGCTAATGTGAATAGTGCTGGAATAAACCTATAAGTGCAGATCTTTTTCACAGAATGATTTCCTTTGGGTAGATACCCAGTAGTGAGATTGCTGGGTTGAATGGTAGTTCTAGTTTTAGTTGTTTGAGAAATTTTCATATTGCTTTCCACAGGGGTTGCATTTCCTTTTCTCTGCAGCCTTGCCAACATCTGTTGTTTTTTGACTTTTTGATAATAACCATTCTGACTGGTGTGAGGTGATATCTCATGGTTTTGATTTACAACTCTCTGGTGATTAGTGATGTTGAGTTTTTTCATGTTTGTTGGCTGCTTTGTCTTAAGAAGTGTCTGTTCATGTCCTTTGCCCACTTTTTAATGGAGTTGTTTTTTTCTTGTTAAATTCCTTGTGGATTCTGGATATTAGTCCTTTGTCAGATATATAGTTTGCACTTATTTTCTCCCATTCTGTAAGATGTCTGTTTACTCTGTTGATAGTTTCTTTTGCTGTGCAAATGCTCTGTAGTTTAATTAAGTCCCAATTGCCAATTTGTTTTTGTTACATTTGTTTTTGAGTACTTAGTCATAAATTCCTTGCCTTAGCCAATGTCCAGAAGAGATTTTTCTAGGGTTTCTTCTAGGATTTTTGTACTTTGAGGTCTTACATTTAAGTCTTTAATCCATCCTGAGTTAATTTTTATATATGGTGAGAGGTAGGGGTCCAATTTCATTCTTCTACATACGGCCAGCCAGTTTTCCCAGCACTATTTATTGAATAGGGCGTCCTTTTTCCATTGTTCATTTTTTTGGTCATCTTTGTTAAAGATCAGATAGCTGTAGGTGTATAGCTTTATTTCTGAGTTCTCTTTTCTGTTCCATTAGTCTATGTGTCTGTTTGTTTACTAGTACCGTGATGTTTTGGTTACTGTAACCTTATAGTATAGTTTGAAGTCAAGTAATGTAATGCCTCCAGCTTTGTTTTGTTTTGTTTTGTTTTTTCCTTAGGATTGCTTTGGGCCCTTTTTTTTGCTTCCATATGAATTTTAGAACTGCTTTCTCTAATTCTGTGAAAAATGACATTGGTAATTTGATAGGAATTGCATTGAATCTGTAAGTTACTTTGGGACAGTGTGGCAATTTTAACAATATCGATTCTTCCAATCCATGAGCATGGAATGGTTATCCATTTGTTTATGTCATCTATAATTTCATTCGGCAATGTTTTGTAGTTCATGTGGAGATGAACTCAAGGAGATAACCTCCTTGGTTAGCTGTGCTCCTAGGTACTTTATTTTTGGGGGGCCATTGTAGCAGGCCTGTATCCTTGATTTTGTTCTCAGCTTGAATTATTGGTGTGTAGAAATGCTACTGATTTTTGCACGTTAATATTTGTATCCTGAAACTTTACTGAAGTCATTTATCAGGTCTTTTGGAGGGATTGTTAGGGTTTCTTTAGGTTTAGAATCATACCGTGAGTGAACAGAGATAATTTGACTTCCTCTTTTTCTATTTAGATGCCTTTTGTTTCTTTTTATTGCCCGATTGCTCTGGGTAGGACTTTCAGTACTATGTTGAGTAGAGGTGGTGAGAGTGGGCATCCTTGTCTTGTTCTTAGGGGGGATGCTTCCAGCTTTTGCCTATTTAGTATGATACTGGCTGTGGGTTTTTCATAGATGGCTTTATTATTTTGAGAGGTATGTTCCTTCATTGCCTAGTTTGTTGAGGATTTTTATCATGAAGGGATATTGGACTTTGTCAGATGCTTTTTCCACATGTATTGAGATGATCATATGGTTTTTGTTTTTAATTCTGTTTATGTGCTAAAACTATTCCCCAAAATCAAGGAGAAAGGATTTCTCCTTAACACATTCTATGAAACCAGTATCATCTTGGTAACAAAATCTGGCAAGGCCACAACAACAACAACAAAAAGAAAACTGTAGACCAATATTCCTGATGAACGTAGACATAAAAATCCTCAACAAAATCCAATCAAACTGAATCCAGCAGCACATCAAAAAGATAATTCATCACTATCAAGTGGGGTTTATTCTCTTGGATGTTACTCTGATGTCACTGGGAAACCTCTGGAATATCAGAAGCAACAAAGCAAATAGGATATGCTTCACAGGGTAAATCCAATCACTGTGGCTCCTCAGTGGAGAACTGCCGTACACAGGGCTGAGTACAGCCGTGAGACCTATTGGCCTTTTGAGGCTTTAGGCTCAAAAACAGATCACAGAATCAGTTATGTTAAACCTGGGAACCCCATGTCTTTTATTTTACAGGTTTCTTTCAGGTATTTTCAGCAATCGTAAAACCAATTTGACAAGGATCACAAATTTTGTTCATATATATAGAAAAAGGAAAAAAAAAAAAAAGAACAATTTGTCTTTGGAATTATTTGTATTGTCCTAAGTGATTCTTGTTTGAAAAAGAAAGCAAGTGGAAGATTTGTGGTTTTATCCTAGATATTGATTTGAAATATGTTTATTAGTTGAGACCAGCAGCCCTAGGCCACTTTGAAGCCATAAGCTCTACAATCACAGACAACGATATCTAAGTTTAGAAAGCAATGTTTTGAATGTTACATTGATAGAATCAAAGATAATAAGTGAAGGCAACAATTACAAGAAATAATCAGGAAAGTTTGGAACTGTATTTGATTTTACTGGTTTGCCTTCTTTTGCTTTTAATTTAATTTAATTTAATTTTTTTAAAAAAATAAATAGAGATGGGGTCTTGCTATGTTAACCAGGCTTGTCTTAAACTCCTGGCCTAAAGTGATCCTCCCATCTCAGCCTCCCAAAGTGCTAGGATTACAGGCATGAGCCACTGCATCTGGACTATTTTTATTTTTATTTTTTGAGATAGTCTCTCTCTGTTTAATACAGTGATGCGATCATGGCTCACTGCAATCTCTGCCTCACCAGCTCAAGCAATTCTTGTGCCTCAGCCACCCAAGTATCTGGGATTACAGGTGTGCGCCACCATACCTGGCTAATTTTTGTATTCTTAGTAGAGATGAGTTTCACCCTGTTGGCCAGGCTGATCTTGAACTCGTGGCCTGAAATGATCCTCTTACCTTGGCCTCCCAAATTGCTAGGATTACAGGTGTGAGCCATTGTGTCCAGCTAGCTGCCTTTTTTTAAAAAGTAAAATTGTTAGTGACTTTTAGAAGAGTGATACATAGTCATTGTGGAAAACAGCAAATAGTGACCAAACTAAAAAAGTAGGTAAGTATCTCAATGTACTGTTCAGGGACATCCACTGTTAAATTTTTGAGGTATTTAGGTATATATGTGTTAGAATATTTGGTTATTTATTTATCATACTGTAGAAAGGTTTTATAATCTATTTTTAGTGCTGTTGTGAACATATTTTCACATCATGAAATATTCATAATCTTATTTTTATGGAGGTGTGCAATCTATAGTTACACCATAGTTTTTAAAAACCGGATGCTTATTGTTAAAATCTAATTTTTATTCAGATTTCTATTGTTATTTCTTAATCTGTTTGAAGAAATACTGTAAAGAAATCCATCCATAGCTACATTTTTCTTTATATTGTTTTGTGTTTGTGACTACTCCCCAAGTATTATTGTGTAGTCAAAGAACACAAAATTGTAAGGCTTCTGCTATGTTTTGCCAGCCCCCCCAGAAAGATTGTACTCCCAATAGCAGTCTATGAGATTGCCAATTTCTCTACATCCTTGTCAGCTCTGGTATCATTGTTCTTTTAAAAATTAATTTTTGAAATTTGGTACGTGAAAAATTAATATCTCAATGCTTTCATTTCATAGTTGATATTTAGTAAGGCAGAATATGTTTGCTGTTTGTGATTTGTGTGTACAGTATATGAATTGCTTATTCATACCCTTTTTCTACTTTTAATTGGGTTTATATTTTTCTTGCTGCTTTTAAAGAAATACTTATGTAGCAATGATAATTCATTGTCAATCATAAAAGTTGTATATTTTTCCAAGTTCTGCGTTTTTCTTTTAATTTATAAAACGTCTACGTATTTTGTTTATATAGCCAAGTCTGTTCGTCTGTATCATATTTTCCCCATATAGAGGTTGCATAAATTCTCTCATATTTTTCCTTCTGCTTTTTGGTTATTTTTTTTGCATTTAAATGTTTGGCTCATTTATTTACATATCTACACATAGGCATCTTTTTTTTTTTTTTCTTTTTTGTCGTTTAGAAAGAAAGTCGCGCTGTATCCCTACTGACTTCTCCAGCTGCTGGTATAAAAACAGTTGATCCTCTGCCTTTGCGGGAAGATTCTGAAGACAATATCCCCAGATTTACTGAGGCAACTCTTCCAGTTTCAAAAATCCCAGAATACCCAACAAATCCCCCTGGACAGTCGCCTTCTCCACCGCATGTTCCATCCTACTGGCATCCCTCTCGTCGAATTCAGGGCTCTCTTAGAGATCCAGAGTTTCAGCACAATGGTAATTATTTTGGTTTTAATTTTTTGTCTTTTAAAATAAAATGTTATACTGATAGGTACAAAGGCTAAGAATGCACTTTATATTAATAAATCAGTTATTTAGTATTTTTGGTTAATGTATTAATAAGATTTCTTTAAATAGGAAAAATCCCTCTTTGGGACCAATTGTGCTGCACCTAAGTTCACTTTTTGCTGTTGTATATGTGTGAGATATCTCTCAAGTTCTTATTCATACACAGAGGGAATCCACTAGATAGATGCCAGTAGCACCTCTTCTCTGGATGTGACAACCAAAAATGTCTCCAGACATTGCCAAATGTTGCCTGGGTGTAGAATTCACGGTCAGAAATGACTTTCCTTCAGTTTTAGTAGGCATTGCTCAGCTCTTTTCTAGCTGTCATCGTTAATGTTAAGAAGTCAGATGCTGCTTTTATTCCAGATCTTCTATATTTGGTGTTTTCTTTCTGGCAGCTTTTGAGATCTTCTCTTCATATCTAATGTTCTGAAATTTTGTGATGTGCCTCTGAGAGAGTATTTTTTTAAAATCATTTTTCTGGTACTCCATAGACCTTTCAATCTGGAAAATTCTTACTTCTGGAACATTTTCTTGAATTATTCAGTCAAAAATTTCCTTTCCTGGCCAGGCACAGTGGCTAACGTTTGTAATCCCAGCACTTTGGGAAGCCAAGGCAGGCGGATCACTTGAGGCCAGGAATTTGAGACCAACCTGGGTGACATGATGAAACCCTGTCTCTACTACAAAAAAATTAGCTGGGTGTGATGGTGCATGCCTGTAATTCCAGCTCCTTGGGAGGCTGAGGCATGAGAATTGCTTAAGTCTGGGAGGCAAAAAAAAAAAAAATTCTCTCCTTTCTCTGTTTCCTCTTTCTAGGGCTCCTATTCAGATATTGGACATGATTTTATTTTTTATCTTACCTCTCCTATTTTCCATCTCTGTCTTTAAATTTGAAAGGTTACTAATTTTTATCTTCTATCTTTTCTGCTTTAAAAAATTTTTATTTCAATTGCTTTTGGGGTACAGGTAGTTTTGGTTACATGGATGTATTCTGTAGTGGTGAATTCTGGATTTTAATGCAACTGTTACCCAAGCAGTGTACACTGTACCCAATATGTAGACTTTTATCCCTCCCCTCACCCCAAGTCCCCACAGTCTGTTATATCACTTTCTATGTCTTTGTGTCCTTATAGCTTAGCTCCCACTTATAAGTGAGAACATGCAGTATTTAGTTTTTCATTCCTGAGTTACTTCATTTAGAATAATGACCTCCACCTCCATCTTAATTGCTGCAAAAGACATTATTCCATTCCTTTTAATGGTGGATTAGTATTTCATGGTGTTTGTTCCTGTTTCTCTAGTTCCTTGACGTGTGATACTAGGTTGTCACTTTGTGCTCTTTCAGACTTTTTAAGGTAGGCATTTAATGCTATAAACTTTCCACTTAGCATTGCTTTTGCTGTATCCCAGAGGTTTTGATAACTTGTGTCACTGTTATTCATTTCAAAGAATTTTTGAATTTCCATCTTGATTTCATTGTTAACCCCCAAATCATTCAAGAGCAGATTATTTAATTTCCATGTATTTGTATAGTTTTGAGGGTTCCTTTTGGAGTTGATTTCTAGTTTCATTCCACTATGGTCTGAGAAGATAGTTGGTATGATTTTCTTAAATTTATTGAGACTAGTTTTGTGGCCTGTCATGTGGTCTATTCTGGAAAATGTTCCATGTGAAATGATGAGAAGAATGTATATTCTACAATTGTTGGGTAGAATGTTTTGTAAATATCTGTTAAGTCCATTTGTTCTACAGTATTGTTTAAGTCCATTGTTTCTTTGTTGACTTTCTGTCTTAATGATCTGTCTAGTGCTGTCAGTGGAGTATTGAAGTCCCTCTCTATTATTGTGTTGCTGTCTACTTCATTTCTTAGGTCTAGTAGTAATTGTTTTATGAACGTGGGAACTTCAGTGTTAGGTGCATATAAATTTAGGACTGACTGTAATATCTTCTTATAGGATTGACCTTTTTATCGTTATATGATGACCTTTGTCTTTTTTTAGATAGTTGTTGCTTTAAAGTCTGTTTTGCCTGATATAAGACTCCTGCTTGCTTTTGGTTTCCATTTGCATGGAGTATCTTTTCCTACCCCTTTACCTTGAGTTTATATGAATCTTTGTGCGTTAGATATTTGGTTTGTGGTTTTTAATCCACTCTGCCATTCCATATCTTTTAAGTGGAGCATTTAGGCTATTTACGTTCATGTTAATACTGAGATGTGAGGTTCTGTTCTATTCACTATGTTAGTTGTTACTTAGATACTTTGTTTTTTCCGTTGTATTGTTTTATAGGCCCTGTGAGTTTTAAGCTTTCAGGAGGTTCTGTTTTGTTGCATGTCAAGCTTTTGTTTCAAAATTTAGAACTCCTGCTTAGCATTTCTTGTAGTGCTGGTCTGGTAGTGACAAATTCCTCCGCATTTGTTTGTCTGAAAAATACTTTATTTCTCCTTCATTTATGAAACTTAGTTTTGCCAAACTAACAAAATTCTTGACTGATAGGTATTCTGTTTAAGGAGGCTAAAGATAGGACCCCAATGCCTTCTGCCTTGTAAGGTTTCTGCTGAGAAGTCTGTTGTTAGTCTGATAGTTTTTCTTTTGTAAGTTGCCTGATGCTTTTTGCCTCACAACTGTTAGAATTCTTTCCTTCATGTTGACTTTAGATGACCTGATAAATATGTGCCTTGGTGGTGATCTTTTTGCAGTGAAGTTCCTAAGAGTTCATTGAGCTTCTTATATTTGGATATTTAAATCTCTAGCAAGGCCAGGGAAGTTGTCCTCAATTATTCTCTCAAATGAATTTTCCAAATTTTAGCCTTTTCTTCTCCCTCAGTATCACCATTTATTCTTAAGTTTGGTTGTTTACATAATCCCATATTTCTTGGAGACTTTGTTCATTTCATTTGATTCTTTTTTCTTTATTTTTGTTTGATTGGGTTAATTTGAAAGCCCTGTCTTTGAACTCTGAAATTATTTTTTCTGCTTTTTTTCCCCCTTGGACCTGGCATGTAGCTATCTTCTACTTGTTCTAGTCTATTTTTGAAACTTTCCACTGCATTTTGTATTTCTCTAAGTGTGTTTTTTATTTTCAGATGTTCTGATTGGGTTTTCTTTATGATATCTCTCTGGAAAATTTTTCATTCATATCCTGACTTTTTAAAAATTTATTTATGTTGGTTTTCACCTTTCTCTGGTAGCTCCTTGGGTAGCTTAATAATCAACCTTCTGAATTTGTTATCTGGTATTTCAAAGATTTCATCTTGGTTTGAATCAATTACTGGAGGGCGAGTGTGATCTTTTGAGGGTACTACAGAACCCTGTTTTGTCATATTACTAGAATTACTTTCTGGTTCCTTTTTTGGGTGCACTATTCTAATTGTCCTCAAATTTATTTTTTATTTGACTATGTGTGTTTTTTAAAAAATTTTTTCCCCTCTTAAGAATGTGACTTTAATGGTTATAATTTGTTATAGTTTAATTTGGTTCTTGGTGCTTTTACGGGTAAAGAGTCTTTGTAAGTTCTTTGGTTATAGAGAGTCTTTGTATGATGGCTTCCTCAGATGCTGGTTGTAGTAGCTGTGTACTCAGTGTGTGGGCGAGTTCACTGTCTCCTGTGGGGCTGGAATGGCAGAGATCTCTTGAAGCTTATCTCATTCCCCTGTGGTTTGTACTTCTTTATTTATTTAATTTTTCTCCAGTATTTTCTTTACTGAGTTGATAGTTCAGGCTTCAGGCCATTAGGGGAGGTGTCCCTGGGTAGGAACTTATTGTAGCTGAGGCAGGTGGGTGAATGCAATACCCACTGGTGGGCACCGGTTCCAGCCTTGACGAAGGTGGCTGGTGGAGCACTCAGATGCAAGGAGGTCTTATCAGGGTGAAGGGTGAGAGCCACCTCAGCTTCCCTGCCAGGCCAGCAGGAAAGCGATCCACCTCGTAGCCTCACTCATGTCCCAGTGTCCCAGCAATTCAGATCAGACAGGCACCTCTTTTTGTCTGTAGGAATGTTGATGTTCCAAGTGGATAGGAATTGTGACTCTTCCTCTCATGCAAGCCTGCATCTGGGGAGTGCTTCTCCTGTAGGCGAGCAGTCACCCTAAAGTGTTCCAGGAAGGCTGTCTATAGGCACACCCAATACCGAGTCCTGTGGGAGAAGCCCCAGCTGTGTCTGCGGTGGTGGACAAGGGGAAAGAAGACTCCTTCTCCAAGACCCTTCATGAGCACTAAGGCTGTCTGACTGTTGGGGTGATGGGGTAGACTCCCTACTGAGCCTAGCAGTGTAGTTGTGTCTCTGCTGAAAGAAACTTCCCACCAGTGGAAAGATCTGGAACTCCTGAGATTCCTTGGTTGTAGATAGGCTTAGTTAGGGTGCTGGCTTTCTTGCGTGTTGGTTATAATAGTAGTGAACCTGTCATGGAGACAGATTCAGGACCACTGGTTAGCTAGGGTGTTGCAGGCAGTCTTGATAGCTGAGGTCAGGCCCTGGTTTTCTCCATTCTGGGCACAGCATTATTCTACCTAGAGATGGTATAATGGCCTGTGTCAGTTGGCCTCTAAACAGGAGGTGCTGCTTGCGAAAGAGCACCAGCTGCAGTAGTAGCAGTGGTATTTGAGCTTGCCCTATGTTGCCCAGGGGAGGTATTCTGGTTTCTCACACCTGGGCAGGGTTATAAAACTCCCCAAAGTTTATGTCCTTTGTGTTAAGCTGTGGAGGGGTACAGCCAGGCAGGGGATGGGTTAACTGGGTCTGCTCTTTGACTCTCCACGTGCCATCTGTTAGTTTTTTAAAAAGATTTTTACTTTTTTTAATTTCTAAGAATTTTTAAACATTGCATATTCCTTTTATACAGCATCCCATTCTTATTTCATGAATGGAATATTTTATCTCTTCGAAGAGGTAAATGATATATATAATGCCTGTTTTGACTATAGTACCCCTGCCCACAGTTGAACCTGGTATCCTTTAGTCAAAGTAGCTCTGGTAAACTTTTAGAGACGAATCTTCTGTGTCTCTTTTGGGAAAGAGGGAACTACCCAGCTGTGCAAGTTTAAAGGAGGACCTAGCATATTAACTATTTTTGTAAAAGGATTTTTAGTCAGTTTCCTAGTTCAGTCTTCCCTTCACTCCAACTTTCAGTGGTACTCAATACTCCCAAACCCAGAGCCATCGGGGAACAAGTTGGTTGTTTCTTGGTTTCACTCTTCTGCTGGCTTAAAATTCCACTTACTTGGGTATAGTTATACATACACTCACTGCCCTTCCATTTGCTTTCCGTGTTCCAAAAAGTTTCTTGGTGTCTTATTTGCTCCCATTCTCTTTGTCCTATGAGTTTGTTGTTCTTGTAAATGTGTGTATTTAATTTACCATCTCTAATCAGAAGCCTACTACATTTCTTTAAAGTTAGAGTAGATCAATATTATCATTGGAAAGAATATTAGGAAGTTATCCATAGTTTGTTTACATGCTTGCTAAGTGCAGAATGAATTATGAATGGCCCTTTTATGGTAATTTCTTCAACCTTTACTCACATGTAGGTTTGAAAATTAATAAAATTTCTGACAGCCTACTTTTGCTAACAGTGTAGAATATAATTGAGATAAGCTGTTCAGTGGCTTTTGAAGGATAATTTCTTCTGCCTTTTTTTTTTAAGTGGGAAAAGCAAGGATGAACAATTCGCAGTTACCTCAGCATGAAGCCTTTAATGATGAAGGTATTTCAATAGTCACATAACATAAAAGTTTGAGTTCTAGTCTATGATACAGCTTATGAAGTACTTCCACAGATTTTTCCTTAGATCCTTGAAACCCTGTGCGGGGGAGGGGGTGAAATTACCCCCATTTACAAATGAATAAGCTGAGAGTAAACTGGTAAAATATTGTTCTAGGGAAAACATTGTGCCCAGCGTCACAGCTGAGGTCAGTGTTCTTTCTCTTTTTCCACCTTGTCTAGCTGGGGGCTCAGGAATTTGGGGTAGCGTTACATCCATCTTTTAAAAAAATGCCTTGGGAGGCCGAGGCGGGTAGATCACGAGGTCAGGAGATCAAGACCATCCTGGCTAACATGGTGAAACCCTGTCTCTACTAAAAAATACAAAAAAATTAGCCGGGCGTGGTGGCGGGCGCCTGTAGTCCCAGCTACTTGGGAGGCTGAGGCAGGAAAATGGTGTGAACCCAGGAGGCGGAACTTGCAGTGAGCTGAGATCGCGCCGCTGCACTCCAGCCTGGGCGACAGAGCGAGACTCCATCTCAAAAAAAAAAAGCTTATATATTTTTGTCAATTTTCAATGGTCAAACAAATACATGATTAGAGAAAATTGACATTTTTCTTCTTTGTAGTTTTGTTTTGTTTTTTTTTTTTTGAGACAGAGTCTCGCTCTGTCGCCAGGCTGGAGTGCGTGGCGCGATCTCGGCTCACTCTGCCTCCCAGGTTCAAGCAATTCTCCTGCCTCAGCCCTCCCAAGTAGCTGGGATTACAGGCACCTGTCACCACACGTGGCTAATTTTTGTATTTTTACTAGAGATGGGTTTTCACCATGTTGGCCAGGATGGTCTCAAACTCCTGACCTCGTGATCGCCTGCCTTGGCCTCCCAAAGTGCTGGGATTACAGACATGAGCCACCACGCTTGGCCTTTTGTAGTTTTTATTCTGACATTTATTTGCTTATAATAGTGGCAGGAGGAACTTGAATTCAATATGAATAATTGAATCACTATTTTAATTCATCCTAAGTAGTATGGAATTATTGAACTTATAAATTTTGAATTGGAAGTAAATTTAAATTTCATACTCTGTGTCATATATTAAAGACTTTGCGTTTAGCAGGTTTAGGACTTTTTGTTATAATTCATTGAGCTAGAAATCAAGTTGTATGTTTTGAAATGCAAATGTCTGGCAACTTTGAATCCAGTCCTGTTTTCTTTCTAATGGAAGAATAGTGTCTATATATAACCTTATAAAACACTTGCTTACTCAGAATGAGGAATTTCAGTACTAATGAAGGGTAGCATATTAAAGTCAAACATTATTTCTACATTTAGTGAGATTATTTTAGAAATGTGATGTAAATACCATGTTAAGGTATGGCATTTTGTTTTTAAAAAGTTTAGAAAAGCTTTTTGCTCTGAATAGCTGTGCTTTTTAAAGTAGGATAAAACGGTATTATGATGAATTATTTTCAAGTAATACTGAAATCATAGGCCATGTGCTTTGTTAATGACAGGATTTCAGGAAGGAAAAAAATTTAACGTTAAATTTTAACATTAAAAGGTTTGATTTCTATTCATGATAAACCTGTAAAACTACTGTCAGGTATCATGAGAATATTAATATCTTACATTTCAGTAGATTGCTTTTTTTTCTGACTGACTTGACATTGATACAGTTTGATGCTTTTAATTTTCTGTTATATAAAACATAATATTTATTTAATAGATATTTTTGACACTGAATATAATCTTGGGATTTTTTCATTGCAGATGAGGACAGATTGTCTGAGATTTCTGCTCGCTCTGCAGCTTCTAGTCTCCGGGCTTTTCAGACTCTGGCACGAGCTAAGAAAAGGAAGGAGGATTTCTGGGGTAAAACATAAACCTAGTTGAGTTGCCTTTATCTAAGGAAACATTGGTATAATTTTTCTTTATTGCTTACTGTGTTAAAACTTTTGAGTATTTGAAATTTTTCCTAACATTTTCTAGTTTGAAATATTTAATTTCCAATAGAACGGTTTACTTGGAAATTTTTAACATAGGCTTATACAAATTTAACTTTTAACGAATTCTTTTTACATCTATCCCAGAGTACAAAGACATAGATTATTGAATTCTTTACATGTTGTAACTTTTGTAATAGATGTCGTGGATAGATTTTCACCTATCCAGAGAATATTCTAAAAAGATAAACAAAGTGAAGTAAAAGTTAAGATCCCAGTGTGAAGTATGTATTTCCCTAAGATTTGATATATATATCTTTATAATTGATGATGTTGTAAAATGAATTTGTTGTTCCTTTAACCTTTGCTGTAGTGTTTCTTTTTATTTTAGTTCCTTCTATATGTGTTTGCAGTGTTAAGATAATTGTACTTTGAAAACACCAGCTGTATATATTTTTCTTATGTAACAAAGTTGGCTGAAATATATGTATATTTTTGATCTTTGAGTATATTCTATTTGTGTAAGGACTTTGGCTTACATTTGAATAATGTCTAGATTTTGAAAAATTACCTGTATAATGGAGAATTAAAACTCGGTAGACATTTTGAAATAAAAATTGATCAAGTGTGTTTGGCTTCTCCAGAAAGTTATTACATGGAACAAATAATTATCTTTTAGAAGAATTCTACTCATAACAGGTTAATGAAAAGATATACTTGTTTTGCAGCTGTCAGAATGGAATGGAGCCAAGTCTATGATATTTTCACACAAATGTAGGACAAAGAATTTCCAAGGCAGACTCATTTACAGAAATTTAACACAAAACTTTTTTACTGTATTTCTTCACTCACAGGACATGTCCTGTTGTCTTACTGTTTATCCTGCAAATCATGATAAATTTAAGTTTCTAAAAATACGGATTTTACAACTATGTTACGTAAAATTTTTACATAATACATAGAAAGTACTGAAGCTAAAATATACAGAATATTCATGCTTATTGATTAGAAAACAAGTGAACAATCTGTTCTAAAGTGATAATTTGGTCAAAAGTGCATTTGCAAATCATTGGTTCACAATAAGTTTGTTAAAGATCCTACATTATCATGAGGTTTTAAAGAACTGTAGGCGTACGAATATTTGCCTATCTTCCACTGACCTTTAAACTAGTTTGTTCATTAAAGGCTACTAAGGCATTAAATATGAAAATAAAAGTTTGAAATTAGAGTATAACTGGACTTTAGAACACAAATTGGCTTCTATACATATGTGCACTGAGGCATGTTAATTGTAAAATAGGTTTGGAACTTATCTCTCTAGATGATAGATATATCATTGTCCTCTTCCTCAAAGGTTGATTAATTGGTTAGGACAGAGTTTTCAATGGCTGACCACTGATGTATGGTAAAGAAGTTCGAAATTAGAGCTAGCTTGCAGGGGATTTTGCATAACTCAGTCTATTTTATCTAAGCTATAGACGTAAAATCTGGGTATACCCATTAGAGTGATCAAACCACATGAACTTGATCTATCAGGTGTTAGATGGATTAGGATATAGTTCTCATGGGGACAAGGTCATGACCCCAGTCTCCATGCAACAATTTAGCTCTGCAGTTATTGATTGCTTCTGTTAAAAACCCTATTCAGTGGCCCAGGGGAGAGAACAGTGTTGAGGGCCCAGTAGAGTTTTATTGCTCACACTAAGGGCAACTCAGAAGACATGCATTTGAGTTGGTGAGTAGTCTTTGTTACATGATAACTGCCTCTTGAGATTTGCTAGTATTCAGGAGCTGGGATTGCGAATTCAAATTTTTATTAGTTTTATTAAGGCATACTTTATAATAAACTGCAATTGTTAAAAAAAATTAGAGCTTAATGAGTTTGAATAGATGTACACATCTGTGAAACTAACACCACAATCATGATACATTATCACCCCAAAAGTTTCTTCATGTTCTTTTGCAGTCAGTCTGTCCTTCCACCCCTGGTCCCCAAGGCAACCAATAATCTGCTTTCCGTTGGTATAAATTAGTTTACAGGAATTTTATATAAATGGAGCCATCCTTTATGCCTGACTTTTATTCAGCATAATATTTTTGAGAGTCATCCATGTTTTGGTGTGCATGTTGCCTCTTAACTTATTCACTTGCTGGTGGACTTTGGGGTTGTTTTCAGTTTGGGATTGTAATGAATAAAACTGCTATCAGTATTGGTGTGCAAATCTTTGTGTAGATATGTGCTTTTATTTCTCTGCAGAATATCCAGGTAATTCAATTTTTATTCACCTTGAATATAACTGCTGGTTTGAGTATACAGTATATACCCAAATAAATATAAACTGGTAGCTTGATCTTTTTGTCTAAATTAATATCTCACAAGCCACACTGGGGAGCCAACTGCAGAACTGCAATGGGAAGTTTTTCTAAAGTGCATATACCTACCTGCTCTTTTCCCTGCCCCTCCCGGTCTTCACCCCAGGTATTGAGATTCTCAGTGTATCCATGTTTGAGAGCCCTTGTAAAAATGCACCAAAACACATACATGGGAGGTTTCGCACGTTAACTTCTGGTCTCATCTCTGGATCCCCATGGAATTCTGAACTTCAAGTTAACCCTTGAAGGATGGTTTTGACGATTAAGGATAAATAACATGATAAATATGCTTGGTGCATAGGAGGAAATGTTGCCGAGAGATTTAGTATAAATATCCTCATTTTACAGATGGGAAAACAGACTTAGCTGAAATAACTGGCCCAAGATCTCAAGGCTGGTGAATTAAATCTAGGTCTCCTTACTCGAAATCCACCCACACTAACTCCTTTGAAGTGTGTATGCTAAAATTGCACGTCCCTCTGTGATTCAGTTCTCTCTCTGGTTGATTCATTTGCGAGTTAATTTTCCACTTTGCCTTCTTGGAAGATAAAGGTCTACCTTTTCTAGTCGGGAAAGAGAGTATGTGAGCATTGAATTTTTGTACAAATGGATTCAACCAGAATGAAAGCAAATTAATATTCAAAACAAGCTTGTTCTTATGTAGAGCAGCGGTGAGGTTGGCTACTTAGGGAGCTCAAGGATGGATTATATATTTTTGTTATAATTGTGCATGCACATATCAGACATCCAGAAAATATCCTGACTTCTAGAAGTTTACCAAAGGAACAAATAATGTAAAGTGGTAGATGATCCCAGAATGGTTTTGGAATATGTTTTTGGTACTTTTACATCTGATGGTGGTAGTCATGTTAGGGTGCTCAGAGCCCAGTCTGTCAAACCACCATCACTCAGTTTCCCAAGGTGATTCTGCTGACAGAGACTACTCCAGGCCAAACAACAGTCTGTGTCATTGGACTAGCTAGGGTTGTGCACCAATGGGTCTGGTCACATGGGGTCTCTGAGAAGCCAACTTGCCCCATGAGCTTAACTCATGGACTAAAAGCAGGCTACTGATCTCTTCAGCTCCGTGCTGATGAACTTTCTTGCTAATGTTGACTCTGCAATCTAACCATATGTGTCTTTCTACTATGGCAAGTGGAGGCACAGAAAGACCCAGCCCTTTGCTGTCAGGCTTAGAGCCAAGCTTCTTTAAATCCTATGTCATGTTTCATTCCCACCCTACAGCTCTCATACAGGAGGCAGCTCCCCATCCTGCGACTCCTGCCACGTGGCAGGTAAGAGCAAAGGAACAGTCATCTTAAAGATGGCATCCATTTCTCTTCTACGAAGTGCTCTACCCGCTAGTCTCCATCCGTGGTTTCATTCTGCCCTATATCCATATAAAGCATATCTGGAAATTGAGAAATGAGGACTTGGGGGACACTAAGCCACCTTTGGAAATCAGAGCATGAGGCCAACAGGTAGGGTAATGTTTGGGGAGTTTACACCAATTCAAACCACGTAATGGACAATTTAGATAATGCTGGGAAATTGTTCAGTTTCTCCCCTTTACAGTCTACATGCCAGTATTATGCTGGAGCTGACTCATGGCCAATCATTAAATTTTCAAGAATGTTGTGAGCAAGTTGTTAAAGTTATCACTAGTTTGAAATTGGCCATGGTGGGAGTATTTACACCACTGAAATCAACCGATGCCATGAATTAGGGCTTCTCCCATTTACTGCGAGGTGGTTTACAAGCCCACCACTAGTTACTACCTTAGTCTCTTCTATTCTTTCCATATCACTTGCCTGACAGAGAAAACAATCTACTTCAGAAAACCAGCTCAAGATAAATGGCTTTAATATTTATTATACCACTTACGCATTCCTTGGCTTATAAAAATGGTTTGGTTTAGTTTCTTTCCTTGGCTGAAGTCCATCTAGAAAATAAAAACAAGCCACAAATAACAATAGACTTACAGAGGGAGACTATGCAGAGACGGCCTAGAAATCTATATGTGTCATCTTCCAGATGATTCTCATAGGTAGTTTGGGAACAACTGGCTTTGGGGTTGTAGTAGCCTATGTTCTAATCCTAACTCCACCTTGAGCAAGCCAATTGAATTTTGAGCTTGTATTCCTCATCTTGCAGATGGGGATAACTCACCAATTTAGTTTTCAGATTAAATGGCATAAGGTCTGTAAAGTTTTCATATATGCTATTTAAATGTTACTTCAAAATGTTTAGTTTTATTGTGTTGGCAAATTTTCATTAAAACAACAAGAAAAAAAGCCTTGTTTTAGAGAGGCTAAGGTTAAATCTAACAAGCAGGTGACAGGGTACCCTGAAATCGTGGCCTCTCATCACAGACCTATCAGTTGTGACCTACATTCAGCTTACCCAGAGGCAGTTTCAGGTAGGGGTGCCGAAATGATTTGTCTATTTCCGTTATGTGGTAAAGCGAAAAAGGTCTGACTACAGTGTTGTGACTCAGCGACTCTAGAAGGTGGAACTAATTACCTGATATTTGCAGACGATATTAGCGTAACCATGAATTGGAGATGTTATCAGGTTTGAGTCAGGAAATGCAGAGATAAAGTACCCACGATGATTACTGATGAAAGGAAAGATAGTCAAGGTTGGTCCCTGAATGAATGCGTGCCCAATATCAAAGATTTCCTATGTTTGCTGCCAGTTTTTTTTGAATAAGATGAATTAAATAAAACTCAGTTTTGTAATTTTAAGAAGAAAATATAAACTAACCCAAATGCCACACATTATGGGAAGATGTAGGCGCTTTACACTCATAACTTCAACAATAGTCAGTTTGGGCATCCCAGGAAAATTTTGCCCACAGTGAGTACCTTAGTATTCAGGTTCCTGTCAAAAAATTATTCAGGTCAAAACAGTTAAGGTTCTGGGGAAACCGAAAGAAAATTGAAAATAGGTTGTATGGCAATACTAAATTTTGGTTCCACAAGGAACGAGTAATATTATAAAGTTTAACTTGTAATGTTGCAAAGATGAAACATCCGAAGTGCTTTACTAATTTGAAAACATATACCTGGCACTAACAAATACCCTAGCATGATCATTTAAATCAATTACTGGCCAGATGCGGTGGCTCACACCTGTAATCCCAGCACTTTGGGAGGCCTAGGTGGGTGGATCACGAGATCAGGAGTTCGAGACCAGCCTGGCCAACATGATGAAACCCCATCTCTACTAAAAATACAAAAATTAGCTGGGTGTGG